CAACCATTCCTCCATAGTGGGTAGTGTCGAATCTTTCCATCTCTGTGCATATAATAATCTCACCGCAGTAATCATATATTGAAATAATCCCCCATGGCTTTTTTCCAACTGTTTATCCATTAGTCCTAAAAGAAAAAGTTATGGCTTCAATTGAATATTAATATTTAAAATTCTCTGTATCAAATATGTATTTGAATCCAAAACTTTTAAGCTTTTTTACATCTCCAACAAGCATGATAAAATGTCCCTTCATGTTGTTCACATTTTCAACATACATATGAAGTGCCTTTACACATTTTAGATAATTTCTGTGGTGTTATATACCAACGATACATCATTTTATAAAAATTATCTTTGAGATAACACAATGTAAATTTAAACCCTTTTAACCACATATTTTCCCATTGATCCATCTGTATATTGTAACCAACGTTCTTGGCCCACTTTATTATACATTCTTTAACCTGTTCTTCCTCTGTTTCAAATTTCAACAAAAGTTTATACTTTTTAGCAATGTTTATCATCAGTGCACAATTGTACTTCAAAGTATGTCTTTCTTTGCTCCATCCCATAAGTCTTTTTGTCCATTCTGAATCTTTCTGATAACTGTAAATGGGAAAACCATTGACAACAATATCCTTGTTGTATAAAATACAATTCTGCTATATTTACAGTGAAATAACGGTGGCTATTGTGGTGTTGCTATGAATGAAACTAGTGACACAGTGCTTCAGTCCAATCATACACAAATTCTTTCCTGTTAAGATAACTGCAGAGTTTCATTAAAGAAAGAGGTAGCCATCTAATTACAGCTTTGCAAATACTTTTGCTTTATGAATGTGCCTTACTGTTTAAATTTTCTCACAGTTTTATATCAAAAGAACTTAGGCTGTAAGAAGCCATAATAAAAACATAATGTGTATTGCTCTGGCAAGAAATAACAGACCTCTAAAATATTAAGGGTAAATCTCCCACTTTTATCATCTTTAGGGAGAGAATTATTTAGTTGGTCTAACTTGCAGATGACTGAAAACTCTAAATGTGACCTTAAATCTGCCTCCATTGTACTCTTTTTAATATCATGAGAGATCTATGGAATGTGGATCCTTCTCATCCATTTCTCAGCAGGAAAGTTGTAGTGGGACAAATACAGCCTATAGGGAGGAAGGCTGGAAGTCTCAAACCTTCTCTGCCAGAAACACTCTTGGTCTTAATATCCTGGCTCTGTTTTCCAAATTGTGGCAGTGGCTAGCTAGTTCCTGCTGTCACCACATATATTTTGGGGAATGTCTCACCTGGCATTCTTCCCATATCCCAAGTGTGTCAGTCCCACTAGGTAGACCAAACCAGGAATCAACTCCACAGGTAGGCTAAAACTACTTTTATTGAGATTGGCTATAGTAATAGAATCTTGCAAGTCTGATTGTGCTGTACTTCCCTTCCTTCTTATGTGAATTGTGCTGTACTTCCCTTCCTTCTTATGTCTGTCGGGTTAGGGTTAGAATAGGTTAACCCTATTCTGCATATTTTCTGCTTGTTGTGGATGTAAGATGTTTTTTCCCTTGTTGCTTTGGTGATAGATCTTGCCTTTCTGTCAAGATAATCTTATTCTGTATAGTGAGAGGACTCTCACACCCATCTCTTACTTACTAGTGATTAAAAGGTAAAATATGTATAGAGTCATGGGGATGACCTTGGAGAAACTATGCAGAGATGATCTGTACAAACATGCTTTAAAGCCTGTGAAATAAAGAAAACACTAGGAAGAAACTCAGACCGACTCCTTGGATATAAGAGGGAGGGAAGAAAAACACAGTCTTTCAAGTTTCTGTTACTGTAGCCTATATTAATAAAGTATAGTTCCAGTCAAACTTGTGGAGTCAGTTTCCTGGTCTGGCCTACCTCAAAGGGTTGACAAAATGAAACAAATAAAAATGCATTCTCTATAATGCATTCTCTTAGCCATGTAGCTTAAAAGCATGTGATTAGAGGATTCCAGCCTTTTCACAGTAATCTCACAGTAATCTTTTATTACAGAAAAGAAGAGATAAAATATAAGCCATGTTTTTAACTTTAAATGCATACATTCAGCATTGTAGAAAAAGAGATAGAGAGTTGCCTTGATCAGGATCAGCAAATTAACAGAAAACCCACAAGAAAATGTAAAAGAAAAAGACCATAAGATGGTGTCTGTCTGCTCTAAGTCAAAAGTTCTCTGTAAAGAGATGGGAATGGGATTTAAATTACCAAAGATTTGTACAGATATAGGTAGTCCTCACTAACTGACTGCAGTTGGGACTGGCAACTCCATCACTAAGCAGCACAGTCATAAAGTGAAAATTATGTGACCGCGCTCAACTTACAATGTCAGTTCATCAGTTCCAGCTGCAGTCATTAAGTAAATCACCGTGGGTCATTAAGAAGTCATGTGACTGTAACTTACCACTTCCTGTCAGCTTCCTGCTGGCTTCCCCATTGACTTTGCTTGTCAGAAGTAGGCTGTGAAGGTCGCAAATGGCTGTGGGATGCTGCAACTGTCGTAAATGCCTGCTGGTTGCCAAGCACCTGAAGTGTGATTACATGACTGCAGGAATGCTGCGACGGCCATAACTTTGAGAACTGGTCGTAAGTCTCCTTTTTCAGCACCATTGTAACTTCGAACAGTCACTGAATGAGTGGTCAGTATGTGAGGACTACCTGTAATTTGAACCTTCTTGAAGTTCAGCCTTAGGTTTGATTCAAAGCTGAACTAAAACCCAATTTTCTAAATTTGTACAGTGACATAAGAATATTACGCTTGACTTTAGCTCTGCATAGAAAAAATGGAAGAAAAAACTGAACACAGTTTCTTAGCTAGACTTTTATATACAGGTAGTCCCTAGGTTAAGAACGCCCGGTTTAAGCATGACCCTTAGTTAAGAACGGAGCCTACTGTAGCAAAATTTGAATTAAATGCACAGTGATTCAAGTTAAATACACAATGGTTCGAGTTCATTACACAATGCTACTCATACAATATTGTACAATAATACTGTTCCAGCTTACATACAAATTTGACTTAAGGACAGACCTTGGCAACGGAACTTGTTCTTAAACTGGGGACTACCTGTATCTCTTCAGAAAACAATCACTTTTCCAAAACAATGGTTCTTTTGCTTAATTTAACTAGACTTTCTACAGCAATTTAGGGAGACTCCACTTCAGTCAGAGGCTGCTGAAGAGATGGTGAACGCTCACTCTTGACCAGCCTCTGCCCTGGCTTGTCCTCAGTTCAACTCTGCTTTTTTCTTTAAAAAAGGAAAACCCGATCTATCTCTAGCAGAGGAAGGAGCTGGAGAAATCCGATTCTGTACATAAGCCTCACTCATGGATGTGGATTGACTGTCTGGCATTAGGCTGGCAGCTGTGAAGGTTAGCATTTGGAGCCTACACAGTTACAACAGAAATCTTTTAGTTACTGAGATGAGGGAAATAGGGGGTCGATGCGGGTTTTGCTCCCTCCACTTTAATTAAATTATTTGTGGGTCTGTTTCCCATTCCTGGCAATACCTCTGGGGAAGTGCAGCATAACTAAATGATGAGGGATATGGTGTATATGGACAGAATGTAGAAGTGTATGTGGAAAATGTCTTGTCAATTGATTTCTGTACAGTAAAAAAACCCCCCAAAGCCTAAATTGTTGTTATGGCATTATAATAAAATATAAGAGGCATGTATTCTAGCGCAAAGCTCTTTAAAGGTTCACAGGAGAAGAAAGGATATGAAAAAAGTTGTCCTTTGTTCAGCAAATGTGAGAGTTTGCTACAAAAGTCGATAAATGCTTTTGGAATGCAGAACTGAGATTCTCTGTCCACATTTCAGAAAAAGAAAGAGAAAATGTGTCATTTTTATTTGCTGATAGAGAGTATTTATATATGGATTGTTTTTTTTAGAGTCTGCGATTAATAAGATCTCTGTAAAACCATTAATTTATACAAGTTTCACATATGCAGACTGCAGCTCTGAATGCTTGTTTAGATGTGAGACTCAGTGAAGTTTAATCCTGTTTAAGTACTGTGACTTACAGGCACAGCCACAGCCAGACCTTAAATCTTCTGATTGAGAGGTGATTCAGAGAGCCCTTACTTGTATTGATTTGCACTGCCACTGGGCCATTGTACAGGATGCCATTTCCACATTATATGTCATTCCAGAATGTCCTCTGAGCTTTCAGGCTGTAGTGAGAAAGCCTCATGGTGCCAGCTGAGCTCTTGGCTTTCTTATTTCTGGATCCAGCGTATGTATAATATATTTAAAATATAAAGTAGAGTAATGATAGATGTATGCAGAATTTGTAATAGGTGGTAAAATACCGAAAAATTTGTGAAAGCGTCCTTTTAGCTGTTACTAGGCTTGCTTATTCGTTTTCACATTGCAATACCACTTTTCTGCAAAGCAGCTTTAATTAAAAGAAATGACCATAAAAGTTGTAAAATGGGCTTAAAAATAGAAGGATTGTAATGTAGATCCTGTTGTGGCTAAATAGGGAGGCTTAAAATAAACAGTGACTGGCTTGTGCTTCAAAGGCTTTGAGGAGATATCCTTGAGGAGTCTGGTCTTTAACCACCATTGTCTGAATATTTTTTTATAAAAGTAGTAGAAATGAGAACCAGTTGACAGTGAGTGCACCTTTGGGAAAATACTGTCCTTGTGATAGAGGGATCTCAGACTACATTATCCTTTGAAGATGAAAAACAATTCAGACTTGTGTATCTATTGGCTCTGTGAGAGCTAATTCAATGGCTTTTTTTCTTTTCCAGATATTGTTTTGTTTTTGCTTTGGGATACCTCACTGTGTGCCAAATTTCTAGAGTCTATATCTTTGACTATGGACAATATTCTGCTGATTTTTCTGGGTAAGAATAACTATTTTCTGTACTCACAATTATTTTTCTAGCTAAATATAGTTAAGTCTGAATTAAGTATAATTTTCTTGAGATGTCATACATGTCTGAGAATTTCAGAATTTAAAAAAATCAGAATGTATGCATTTTAGAGTTATTTACCTGTTTGTTTATTGCAAGAGAAGAATATGAAGTAATTTAACTTGAGGATGTGACTTAACATAGGAAGATGTATATGGCTGAAAGCTGCCCGATCACAAATTTCTGTCTACCTCCTTCATAACTCTGTAGTTCAGAATGGAACTATATCTGAAATAGGATGTCTGTGAAAATAATTATGGGGAAAAAATTTATCCAGCATCAGCTAGATGGATCGAAGGAATTCAGATCAAGCCACTTGTGCCATTGTCCTGATTAAAATGTACTTCTACGCATCTGGCAAAACATAAAGATCTGAGCTTTTGACTTAAAAGCCTGTATGGGCCTGTGGAAGGGCACAGGGCAGCCATGGGCACAGAGGCTTCCTTTCTGCCCTGCCCTGTCCTTCTTTTAATGGTCTGGTTTTGTTTTTTAATTTCACAAATGTAATTCTTTGTACTGAGGAAGTATATGAAAGATGATAAAACCTGCCTGTGAGTGGTCTTGTTTTCCTACTATTCTCTTGGAATAGGACCACCAAAGTTACCATTAGAAGAAATCATTTATATTGCAAAAATGTGTCTTCATTTCTTTACTTTTGAATTATATAATTGGGGAACAGCATTCTCTGGGGTACTGGTGAATTTTTGTTAAATTGCTTTCTTTGGTGTTACCATGACTTATGTGTCTAAAAAGGAGCAAACAGAATCTTCTGTGTGATGCAGGAGAAGCATCACTCCCTGCAGACTGGTTAAGTTAAATTTTTCAAGGTTGATTATATTCTAATACTTATGGAGGAAATGTATGTGCAATCAAAATAATGCTACATTTCAGTGGCCCATTATTTACAGAGGACAATTTTTTTTTCCTATTACCTCTCTCTCTGGTTAATGATAATGTGTTATTCCTGTTTGTCATTTTGTTATTTTGGGAATGCATTTTAAACAAAATTTGGTTAACAAATTTGGCTAAATTCTTTAGATTTCAAATCTAAGATATGTATAAAAGGGAATTGTGCATATGCATGTAGCTGAATGCTTACATAATGAGAGCAAGCATGTCTGAAATTCAAGCTTGTGCATGCTGTCTTTCTCCTCTCCTTTTTGTGCCTGAAGGAAAGAGCTTAAAATGTTCTATTTTTAATTTGTGATGAGTTTTGTCCTCAAATCAGGATATCCCCATTTGAAACATCATTTGACATTCTGTTGAGTTAATCAAATAATGCTTTGTGACAAAGCAAGAATGGAAGCTTCTTCCTTTATGGAGGGACAAACAAGTGAGCTGAAATGTGCTCATTTTCTGAACGGTCTCTGTGACTTCTTGAGCAGATTGGCTATAAACCTTCTGAAAAACATATCATCTCCTGTCAGTGTAAATGCCATTGGTTTCTTTGTTTCTCTCTGCCTGAGTCTACTAATCAAAAGTTCTGAGTGGCAAAATATTTTTTTAAAAAACAGTCAGAAATTCAGCCTTATCTTCCCATAGAGAAGTACTATTTTATAAATGAAATCTAAATTTCCTGTCCTTTCTCCATCTTTGTTACAGCCCAATGATGATAATTACACAGAAAATTACAAGTTTGGCGTACGAAATTCATGATGGTAAGATTTGGGGGTGAGAAAAGACTTCCTTCTTTAAATTTTTAACACAAATTGGGGAGGAGAAATTTTTTTAAATCTGTGGGTAGAACATTATGTTCTGGCCAGCTATTCTTTTTACCTTGCAGTCTTGAAAAATCCCTTTATTTTCTATCCATATACTGGATATTCAATCAGTTGAATAGATGATATTCCTGCTTACAAAGCCAAGAGTATCTGATTGACAAAACTGATATTTGTGATGATTTCATTAAACAAATATTTCTTTTTATTTAGTTCCTGCTTTCTTGTATGATTATTAATTTTTTAAATGGGTAAATTGTATAGTGGCATTATTTATTTATTTATTAAATAAATAAATAAATAAAGTCAACTTTTTTCAGATTGAACACTCAAGGAAATTTACATCTTAAAATGTCCAAAGAATACAAAAGTACTGTAGATGAAAATAAAATTTAACCACAGTTTGAAAAGATAAGTAGCAAAAATTGTGTAAAGTTATGAAGATACCTAAGAGTCTAAATAAATGTAAATTATAATTAGCCCTTTAGTTCTGAGAACTGGAGATCTAAAAAAAAGAATGCTTTTAGACAAGGAAACCTAGTTGGCTTCATTTGTAAATAAACAGAGATAATGGCTGCATTAGAATATAGCATTAGTCATGGTTCAGCATTATGGGGGCAGGCCCCTGTAGGCCTCATGCTTGTGTCTTCCCTCCCTCCCTTATTCTCTGACATACATCAGAGGCAGCAATGTGCAGTCTTCCAACCCCATGCTGCTGAATTTTAGCTAACTTGGTGATGATGAAGCTTTGCCCAGTGTAGCATTTGGCTGCCACTTCCCCCAAGAAAATCCAAGTTGCATTAAGATTAAATTAGAAATTGAATTTCTTAAAGTAGATGTATTTTTTTTTTTAGCTCATGCAGAATCCTGAAGAATTTGGGATTCCTAAATGAATAGCAGCAAGGTGCTGTGCTTGTGAAATCTGAAGCATTTCATCCAAATCATTTTTAAGTCTTGCACAGCCCTGTAGTAGTATCGTCTCTTGCCACTTAAGGCTACATATTACTATCTGAGCTGCAAAAATCTGGACAACCATTAGATAGTAGCATAGAGTTAGGGTTTTTCATGTCTCTTTACTCCCAGCTAGTAGTCATCTGAATATATGCAGCCATATATAGTGACCCTACTCACTCTGTTTTAGATCCATCTCAGTTTAGTGTTTCAGCTGGAGAAGACTCTTAAGAGTC